CCCCCCCCCGCCCCCTTCCTCCCGCAGTGGCACAGTCACCAGTGATGAAAAAGTCTGAATTTAGAACTAAAGCCTAAAATAACTCTAAGTAGCAGTGTTACAACTGTGTTCCTAGTTTTTGCATGGTTCCAGGGTGGGAGGCAACTTTCCTCCCTCCCTCTCCTTGCACTCTCCCAGGAGCTCCACCCCTTTCCCTCGCTCGTCGTCCTCCCCTCTTCCCCCTCGCAGCCCGTCCTGGTTCCGACTTGTCTGAACGCAGCAAAATTCACGGGCACTTTTCAAATGCAATACGTAGAACAACCATAAAAATGAACGTACCTGTATGAATCCTCGAACAGCTGATTTCGTCGAACAGTTAATTCACATTTTACGTTTGGTGGCGGTTTCGGTAAATGTGACCTGAGATATTCGTATTTACACTTGTAATCACGTGAATATGGCACAGCTGGGCCTGCAATGCTTGTTTCGAATCTCGGATCTTCCCATTGCGTTCGCCGGTTATTGTGATCAATGTAGAACACACGCCCGTCTGTATGCACACGTCGTTCCCAACCTGCTGGCAGTTCGCCCAATTCATCGCTTCTCACTTCTGAAGAAAAAAAAGTTTTGTGGTTACCACAAACACAGTCAAGCCGATGTCAGATATTTTTATACAACTTTTTTATACATCAGTTTCACTCACTCTTTCTCTTTATTATCCACTTATACTGTTATTTTACCTATCCCATTCTAATGAAAAAATTTAAGTTTTAATCAAATTCATACCAGTTACCACAGTCGTCGTACTAACGAGGTCCAGTTGTCGTAGTGTTAAGAAATGCATACGACTTAATGGACAGAAACATTTCTTACCATTAAAAAAATTTTCAACATTTTATTAGTTCTTCTTTAACATTAAAATATTTTATCTTATTATCTTTGAAGTATGTAATTGTGGAACGAAGGACTTGTTTTGGCATAGCTGCATCAAGTATACGTGAACATCCTAGTAACATCAAGAGCATGGGATCCCTAATAATGATGTTGAAGCAATTTCCGGTATCCCTCAGTATAAGCACTATCTCAGGCATAATCCCTTTCCCCAAAAATTGTGCTTTAGGCAGTACTAATTTTTTTCTGAATAAAGTTAAATGCATTATACAATTTA